GAGATATTGAGGTAAGTGGCTCATGAGTTGTGAACCTGTGGCTAGTTCTCTTATAGTCACAAAAAAGTGTGTGTGTGTGTGTGTGTGCATGCATGTATTTGTTGCCTGTTGACATATAGTGACCCCCCTGAATTTCATAGGTTTTTCTTAGGCGAGGAATACTCAGAGGTGGTTTTGCCTCTTCCTTCTGAAATTGTTTGTGCAAGTGTCTGACTGTCACTATGTGTCTTATTGTGTGCAGATCTGCTACTTTTTATCTTCTGATTCAGCTAGAGCAGTGATATAGAAGAGTACATATACAAGTATCACCACATGTGCAACATTTAAAAATTGTTATATATGTATGTGTGACCTACTCTTCTTCCAGGGAATTCAGAGCAACCTACATACAGCTTCCATGTCATTTTCCCTTTATGAGATCATTCTTTGGTCAATTATTTATGTTTCACCTCAGATATTTTTCTCTGAGGGTTCTTGGGGAAAATTGAGGAGCACTTTAACTTACTATTTTCTCTTGGTTGTAGTCTATTATTTTAAATTCATTATTGGAATGTGATTTGTATAGTGCGATCATTATACACTTGCATTTTGGGTATATCTTTTGCAGCTCTAGCTGTGAATTCAGCCAGAGGAAGAGGAGCCAGACAGAAAACATACCATTGAGATTCTCTTGGGAATATCAAGGCCACAACTTTATTTACAACAGTTGGTAGTTTTGGTTTGGCTTGAGATCTGGATCCATATCAGATAGCCTGCCTGTTATGGATGAATACACTTCCAGGTCATCTGCTGGAGGTCCTTCTGGCCCCAAATGGAGCTTACTCCCCCACCCACAATGCCCTTAATAGGACCCCATAAAAGGGAGAACCTGCAAGGCACTGTGGCCCAGTTTCCAGTAAATACCTGGATCCTGAACTTATACTACTCTGCCCAAATTGTGATAGATTACAAAATTACAATAGAGCAAGCATACCTAATACATAACACATAATAACAAGATCATTCCATCGCATATAGGATAGGAAGTCGGGAAGGCAGCCAGAACAAGCCTGCCCAAGGAGAACCTCAAGTTGTATCCCCTAGGCAGACCAGAGGAAAAACTCGACCCATCTTTCTCACCATGGGGAAAGTCCCTATCTGCTGTGCATCCAGTTTGATCAATCATCTGAGGCCCATACAAACTGCAAGGGCCTCTGGGATGAAGACAGACACACTGTGGGGAAGGAAATGGTGGCCTCTGCACAAATGTAGAGTTGCAGAGGTGATGCCTGGTAAATCAGGCTCACTTCCTTTTCTCTATTCCCCTTCACAACAACCATGTGTATATACAACTGCAATTTTTTTTTATTTTTATTGTAAGTGAACAAACATGTATATAGCATAACAAAACAATAAAACAAAATAAAATGATTAATCTCACAGTTTTGGATTGCAGTTAAAAGACTAGGGTCATCTTCTTGAGTTCTCTAGTCATTCCAACATCCAGTGTTGTCTATGTGTCGTTTTCTTGAGTTCTCTAGTCATTCCAACATCCAGTGTTGTCTACGTGTAGACCTATTCCAAAATGTCTGACCTGAGATTCAGATGGGATGGAGAATATTTTCTCTTCATTCTGTCATTATTTACAAAATTGATGAGTGGGAACCATTTATCAAAGAAGAGATCTGTTGTTTTTTTTAAATGATATGTGTCTGATGAAGTAGACTGCAGTCTTATGCCATAATTTATGCATTAGTTTCTGTAAGATTCTTTTTGCTGAAACAATCTAACATGATGGCCTTCTGGAAATTTTAATTACTGAAAATTAATTAAATTCTAATTCTGGAAATTTTAATTTTAATTTAATTGATGTCATCCTTAAATAAACACATTTGTATCATGCATGCACTCAAACAGCTCAGGACAACATATGTGGATTATTCTATTTAAACTTATTTCTACCCTGTAAGGTAGCCCCAGAGATAGGAAAGTTAGGGGGGAAGCAGACGAGAGCTTCCCAGACGCTTTGGGCTGGCGCGCCGCGGGGCCGCAGCCTCCGCACCTTGGCGCACCAGCGGCGTCCCTGGAAGGAGCGCTAAATCAGCGCTCCTTCCTCAAGACAGGGAAAGTGCGCCCTAAAAGCGTCGGGCGCACTTTCCCTGTCTTTTCCACCACAGCGCGTCCGGTCGCTGCGGCGGGAGGTTGCCCCCGGAGCGCTGGCTGTGCGGAGGGCCGGCGGCTCCGAGGACGACCTCAGGGAGAGGAAGGAGCGCCGCGCGTGTGGCTGTTCCTCCTCTTCCTGGCCTCGGAGACAGCTCAATTAGCCGTCTGCCAAGGCCCTTAATGTGCTTTACATTTAATCTAAAAGAGCAGACAAAAAGCTGTGCTAATTACATTTATGTTGAAAGGGGAACATTAATTTTAATGCTGTTAGTTCTGACCTGGCATTTTCATATATGGGCTGGACAGATGTCCAGGAAGGGGCGGCTTCAAGCTACCCTCTCCAAAGGTGCATTGCGGCCACAGCAAACACATGCTGCAGCCCCAATCCACCCTGAACCCAGCTCAAATAGGAGCAGAAAAGATCCCTATGTGTTTCTGGCTCCTATTTGGGCTGGGAAAGGGCCACCTTTTCCAGCCCTGCTGCAGCTCCAGAGCGGCTTCGACATTATGGCGGCATGCAGCATATAAACACCATGCTGCTGGAGTATCCTGAAGCCACCCACATCTGGGCAGCCGGCCAGCTTCCAGACGGCTTCAAAGGATGCACCATGTAAACACCATGCTGCCAAGACATCTGGAAGTGGGCTTTAACAGGCCATCTGTTTCAACCCTATGTTACCTTACTGCCAAAGATTATTTGAAGACCTGAGGTAAGATTTTTTTTAAAAAAATTATTTATTTGCTGCAATTAGAAATCAGGGTTGTGTCATTGTGTTGCTGCCAATTTGAGAATGTAGCAAACGGAAGGAGAATTCCATAGATGTTGCTGCTTCTTCTTTCCCTTCGTCCTTTTCCAGGATCTTAGACAGGCACATTTTACCACATTCTCTTTCTTATCATCATCACTGAATAGCAAAACATCTGCCACTTTTCTTAGGTCTTGAAAACTTGAAATGTTTTAGCCAAATTTAAGCCATTGTTAGTGGTAGTAAATACATCTTTACTGTGAATTTGAAACTGGACTCACACTTCATGTCAGTGCCTTTGCAAGGATATCATATGTATGATGGCTTTAAGATGCTTGCAATCTTGCACCATGAACTCATTTTTGAAAGTGCATCCACTGGTTGATTTAGTTTGAACTATTTTCTCCCATTAAACTCTTCTTGCCCTTGGTCCAGTAATCTGGACTGGTTGCGACATATGACACCGTATTGATTTTTTTCATACATTTCCCCTTTTAGGCTGTAAGGGTTACATCTGTTTCAAACCAATATAAAGTTATTTCATTTTTGAAGACAGAAGCGATACCTGTAATAGCAGCAGCAGTAGCCAGACCAGGAATACTAAGAAGCTAGTTAACTTTTTAATATATTTTTTAAAGTCATAAACAAAGTCTAATGGTCAACGGTTGAGTGTTCTTGTGTCTATTTGATTAAAATGCCTGTTTTAAAACTGGCACACATTTTAACCTGCATATGTGATTTCTTAAATGGACTTGAATAAGTAGACTACTAGTGAAAAATTAATACTGTATTGAATTTTTCCTCAATGCTCCCCCTCCCTGCAAAAAACTTAATAAAGCCCTGGTGGTGCTGTAGTTAAATGCTGGTACTGCAGCCACTCACATTCACAAGGTTCTGTGTTCAATCCCAGGCAGGGCTCCAGGGTTGACTCAGCCTTGCATCCTTCCAAGGCCACTAAGGGCCTTTACAGACTGCCAGAAATAATGCAGCTTGAGGCCACTTTAACTGCCCTGGTTCAATGCTAAGGAATCATGGGAACTGTAGTTTACTGTGGCACCAGAGCTCTCTGACAGAGAAGGCTCAATGTCCCAGAAAAAAAATACAATTCCCATGATTCCCTAGCACTGAGCCAGGACAGTTAAAGTGGCCTCAAGCTTATTATTTCTGGCAGTCTGTAGAAGCCCTAAAATGAGTACCCAGGTTGTTGAGGGCAATTAGCTTACACATTATAAACTGCAGAGGGGTGCTTAAGTGCACTGATAAACAGTATAGAAATGTACTTGCTTGTTATATTGCTTAATAATTGCCTAGCCATTCTATTTCCTGGGTAGGGGAATGCATTTCTTTTTTAAAAAAAATAAGTTGGTAATATCTATCTGCCACTGTAAACAACATTTTCAGACTGGTTTGTTGTTGTTTTTTTCTATTTTGTGCCAAAATACACTTACTGAATTGTTGGAAGCCACTCCTATAATACTACATGTAAAACGATTCCTGATCTTACACATTCTTTTTCTCTTGGACCATCTTTGAACAAACTTCTTTCCTCTCCAACTTCATTTTCCTTCCCCTCTATTTCAAATTTTCCTTCATTCTCTGAAATTCTTCATTTCTACTGATTCTTTTGTTGTCCATGTTGTCTTTCCCCCATTCCTGTCCTTTTCCTTTATCCCATGGGTAGTCTCTTCTTATGTCTCCAATCTTCCTCCTCCATTAGTTCTTCCTTTCTCACTCACTTTTCCATGTGTCTTTCTGTCTGATCACTCTCTTTTTTCCTTTCCTCCTTCTCTGTTGCCTTTGTGCTCCTCTGAGTGGCTTTACTCTCAGGTGATTCTCTCCTTGTTCTATCTCTTCTGGTGTCTCTCCATTTTCTTTCTCTCATCTCTGCATCATGCTTGTGCATCTACGTTTTCTCCCTCTGTTGTTGCACAGCTGGGCTACCTTTTCCCTGCATCATGTGATGCAGTGTTTTGAACTTCCTCCTCTTGCTCTTTCCCCTTCCTCTTCTTGGTTGCCCATTGCACTTGCCACCATAGTGGCTACCTAATTCAGAGTGAAAAACTCTGTCAAGAATTGTGGTGGGGAAAACAGTGCTTTAAACATAAACATAGAGCCAGTGTGATGTAGTGGTTTGAAAGTTGGACTATGACTCTAGAGATCAGGGTTCAATTCCCAGATCAGCCATAGAAACCAACTCACAAGCTCTCAGCCTCAGGGGAAGGCTAAGGCAAACCTCCTGTTAACAGATCTTACCAAGAAGAACCTACTATAGGGTTGCTTTAGAATTGCTATAAGTCAGAAACAATTTGAAGGTGCACAACAACAACAACAACAAGAATAAACATTGTCACCATATTGTTTCCTTGAAAAATGGCATCATTTACCCATTTTGTTGTGTAAAAAGGTATGTCATATTTGGGCTTAAAGTTTTTGCTTGTTTGTTTGTTTTAGAAAAACAAAAGTTAATGTAATATAAACGTATTGGTTCTAATATCTGAGTAGGTCAGACTGCAGAAGCAGTGACAATGCTGATTTAATTCAATGAGTGTCTTGGCAGAATGCCTATCCAATTCCAATTTCATTCCTTTTTTTAGTGTCCTTCAGGCAATTAGAAAGACAATCTGTGACTGGGAAGGAGGACGTGAGCCTCCAAATGACCCTTGCCTGAGAGGAGAAAAAGACCCCAAAGGTGGTTTTGATATCAAGGTCCCACGGCGAGCTGTAGGACCTTCAAGCACACAGGTATGTATTTCCTTTCCTCTTAGAACAGCTTGGAACATGGATTTGTTGTCTATGTAAACTTTTGAACAGCTCTGCTTTATTTTAATCTCTTTCACTCCAGTATGATTGTAATTCATGCACTGGATGCCATAAAAGACAAACAAATAGGTCCTAGAACAGATCAAGCCAGAAATCTCTGGAAGCTAGGATGACAAAATTGAGACTGTCATACTTTGGACACTTCATGAGAAGGCACGACTCACAATAATGCTAGGAAATGTGGAGGGAAGTAGAGAGGAAGGATGCATGCTAGATGGATGGACTCTGTTAAGGAGGTCACAAGTATGAGATTACAGGAACTAAGCAAAACAGTGGAGGACAGGGAATCTTGGCGATATCTCATCCATGAGATCATCATGAGTCAGGATCAACTCCAGAGTGGTTAACAACAATCAAGTTGTCCACAAGGGGCCTCCTTCCTCCTACCAAACAAATGATCAGTGCTGTTAACTCAGCCAGTGCTGCTCATAACTTAATTGGTTTGGTGATCTGCTTAGACCTGATAGGTAATCCAACAGTCCCCATGCTCCCCAAAACCTACTATCTGAGGATGAACAATTAGGAAGGTTGGTTGAGTGGTCTCCCTCTTAGTTCCACCGAGAGAAGGAATTATGTCAACAAGATGACACTAGTGTGTCATGCCCCATAGAGAAACTAAGATTAATTTACTCTTCTGTAGGGATGTAAATTTTCATAGGGAAGAATGAACAAATGTATATTTTTCTCTCTGCTATGAGAGTCTCCTTAAAAAGTGTGAAATTTACTGAGGACTATTTGCAGTTTTGAATTTATTCTGTAAATCACAGAAAATGGCATTTTAGATAGAAAATGTTATTTTCTGCACACAAAATCAAGTTTTTTGTACAAGAGGAACCTTGCTTTCTGTGCACAAAATGCCATTTTCAACACAAAACCCCCACTCCTTCTTTCTTAAAATAAGTTCCAGATTGCAAAAACTCTCATTCTTCTAGCATTCTCATTAGCATTTTTCAGGAAAACCTTTTGTTTTAAAGCTAACCTTTGAGTATAGTTGAATATTCTTTCTATCCCTGCTTTAGGTGAGGTGAAAATTCTAAATCTGATGGATAGTCCTAACTAGAATAGACTCAAAGAGTCAATAATAATTTTCTGTAAACCCCATTGATTCAGTGGGTCTATTCTAGTTTGAACTCTTGGATTTGCCCATAGAGAACGATGTATTTGTAACAGCAATAGTAAACAACAATTGTTTCCTTACAGCTTTACATGGTGAGAACTATGCTGGAATCCCTCATTGCAGATAAGAGTGGCTCAAAGAAGACTCTCAGGAGCAGCCTGGATGGGCCCATAGTGCTGGCTATTGAAGAGTTCCACAAGCAGTCCTTTTTCTTCACTCATCTTCTCAATATAAGTGGTAAGTAGTAGTGGTAATTCTCATATGAGGAAACATTTGATCTGATTCATATGGTAGGAATAGCAGAATCTGGCCCAAACCATTCCATTTTCCATAGTTTATTTTTAGATCTAGATTTTTAAAAATCTGGCTTACTTTAGATCAGGAGAAATTGCTGCTATGGATGTTCTAACTGGTTTGTTGAATAAACTGTAGTCATAGTATTGGAAGAAGTGCACCCATATACATAGTTCACAGATAAATCTATATAACATTTTCATATTGTTTTTTTCTTAATCTTGATACTTTTTTATTTCTATACAGCAATTTTAAAATTAGGATTTTCAAAAAAAAAATAAATTGAAAAATGGCCAGTATGTGAAATATACATTTTCATTAGCATTAAACCTTAATTGTTCATGGTTATGGGAAATGCTGTACATTTTCAGAAGCCCTCCAGCAGTGCTGTGATCTGTCCCAGCTTTGGTTCCGAGAATTTTTTTTGGAGTTGACCATGGGCCGTCGAATTCAGTTTCCAATTGAGATGTCTATGCCTTGGATACTAACAGATCACATCCTGGAAACCAAAGAACCTTCTATGATGGAGTAAGAGTTCAAAAATTATTTTTATTCCTATAAATACACAGGGTCATGCTCAAATACTGTAGATAATGATCCTACCTTTCATAGATTGGTAATTGTCAATTTTGCCATTCTATGCCACTACAAACTCCCATCTGCAACACTTTGAGATTTCTGCTCTTATTAGTAGGGGTTGACTCTTATCCGACAAGACTCATCATAGGAATTTCCTTGATTCCTATCAAGAGGAAATACGTGCAGTGCAGAGATTCTTCTCTTCTGCACGTATTGTGTCAGTAGAGTCTCGTCCAGTAGAACTGTTTAGGATGGTGGGGGAGTTAACGCAGGTTTCACCTGCGCCGAACCCTCTACTTAACCCGATGACAGCTTGCTGTGACGTGTTTAACAGCCACTTTGCTGATAAAATCTCTCAGATAAGAGCCAACTTAGACGCCAGTGTTATAACAGAATCTATAGACGAGGTGTCCAGCAACTCTGTTGATGTAATTTTACTGGATCAGCTTCAATCTGTGAGTACCGATGATGTGAACAAGCTTCTTGGCAGAGTGAGGAAAACGACCTGCCCCCTCGATCCTTGTCCATCTTGGTTGGTCGTTCGGGGAGAGGGGGATGCGTTGAGACTATTCCTTAGGAATATTATCAATGCGTCCTTCAGGGAAGGTTCTGTACCATCTTGTTTAA